CTGAAAGCAACTAGTCACCTCGTTGAAGAGAAAATATCCAATTGTTGAGATATACAAATTCACGAGGTCATTCAACGAACGAAAAAAAAAACAAATTCATGAGGTTAGCATATTTGGATCTTTTTTATATCAATTCGCGAATCACAAGAATTTGTAAATTTCACATTTCATTTGAGATTTGGTTAAGGCAAAATTTGAGACCCATAGTACAAAATATTTTATGGCCGGCCTGCAAGAGACGAAGATTTGTGGCCAAACGAGGAAAAGAACCGCAATGACAATGATGAAAAAGGTGGGTAGGAGGTGGTGGTTGGAAGAAAACAATAATAATAATGAGGGATTTCAAAATAGTTGATGGGAAAACAACAATGAACAAGAAGATTAAATAAATAATTGATTTGAAAACAATAATGCTACCAACTGATCATATTGCCACAACAACATATAAAAATAAACTAACGGTCTCTATTATCACATGTATAAACAAAAAAATGATAACCGGAAGGAAATGATACTAATTAATAGAGAAATTGGTTTCTCTAAATAACCCTCACCAATCATTTACCTTCATCTTGAAAAATCTGACGATAAAAATGCTCTCAACTCCGCTGGAAGGAACGCCCTCCGCAGCGCCGCCGCAGGCACTCCTCCCATCGGACCGACCGCCGGACCTCACCTCGAAACCCTCTCTAGCGAATACTGGCACCGCGCACATAGCAGCAGCAACCGATATGATCACCGATGCCTCTGCTGGATCGGGGGTTGTGACTAGAGACATCGAAATTGCCGATTCACCGGCCACGGCCACGGAAAAGGAAACGGTGCAAGCGCAGGAACCTCCGGTGCAGATCAAGCCGACGGCACAGTTCTCCTATGCATCGGCGGTGAGGGGGTGGAAATCCAACATATCTTTCTCCGATCAAGCTTCTCAATGGACTCCGGTGGGCGAAAACGACCTGATCCCGGGTAGCCGAAACGGAGAGCCGGCCCTCAATATTTCAGCGACCTTCAAAGAAAGGATCTGTGCCCCCTGGCACCGAACAATTGTGGTGAGACTACTTGGCACCACCATCGGATTCAATACTCTCTGCTCTCGACTCCGCGGGCTCTGGAGGCCAACAGACGCCATGGAAATCATGGACCTTGACCAAGACTGTTTTTTAGTGAAACTCAGTAATGAACAGGACTACTTCAGAGCTCTTACAGACGGACCATGGACAATTTTTGACCACTACCTAGCAGTGCAGCAATGGTCTCCCAACTTCAAGGTTTCTGATCCGCTTCCGAGGAAGATGATTGTCTGGGTTCAATTTCCGGCACTGAAAATCCACTTTTATCACAAAGAAATCCGGACTTCCTTAGGAAATCTCCTCGGAAGAACGATCCGTTTGGATTTCCATACCCTAAATCTACAACGAGCAAAGTTTGCTAGGATTGTTGTTGAAGTAGACCTGTCCAAGCCCCTGGTTCCTCGGATTTGGTTGGACGATGCCTGGCAGAAAGTCGAGTATGAAAATCTCCCCGATGTGTGCTTCGAATGTGGGAAAATTGGGCACTCCTCCCTGCTCTGTCCCAAGCTGCGACTGCAATCTCCCCCGCCGATCTTAGCTATCACCGGCGGCGAGGTTCCGGCAAACGAGGCAGAACAAGGAGAAGAGGAATCGACTCCGGGATTTGGGCTCTGGATGCTCGTTTCCCGCAAGAGCAGGCGGAATTCGCGGGATCCATCACAAAAAGGGAAACTAGATTCCTCCTCTAAGAATGCCAACGGTATTATGCCTGCAAAACAAGGAAAGCAGGAGGTTTCGCAGAAGGAAGGTGGAAGGACAGCCCCGATATCCCCGCAGACGCCCCAGATTCACCTCAACGGACATCCAACCATGAGAGGAAAGGCGGAACAGGAAAGAAACACACAGGAGAAAAAAAAAGGAAAAGAACCAGCTTCAACTGCGGTAAGGGTTGGTACTGGTTCAACTGCGGTACCTTTTGACGAATCAACAACCTTCGAGCGAATTTCATATTTGATTTTTATTTTATTTTGGTACTGGTTCATTGTTTTTTATGAAATGATATACGTTTGTTTGTTATAATGATATTGGTTTATTTCTGCAATGGTATTGTTTTGATTTCATAGTAGTAGTGGTATTAGCTGATTTTGGTATTGGTTTCACTCTTCTAATTGTATAAATCTTTTATATTAGTAGTTTTAGTGCAATGGTATTGTTTTTCATAATGGTATTGATTTATTCTGCAATGGTATTGGTGTTTTCCGAAAAGAGATCATATTATATATTTATTGCAATTGGAATTTTGTTTATAGTATAATAGGTTAATTTCATGTCAATTGATAAACAAGTAATGAGTTGTGTTATAGTGACAAAATACTCTCAAATCACTTATACGTGTTGTGTTCCATCATAAATATAAATATATATCAATGTTGGCGTTATATCCATTTTTCTCTTCCTTCCAGATTTACTTTCCTCCCTACTAGGGCAGAAAATTTAATATTGGTTTCATGGTTAAACCGGAAACGAAATTGGTTTATTCTTTTTGTAATCATTTTCTATACTTAATAAATTTATGAAGAAAATAATTTAGAATCACATTTTAAATTTTCTAACACATCCTCCAAATATCATGGACGGCCCGGGTTCCGGTCCTGTCTATCATCATGGGCCGCTTCTGTCTTGTCTCATCGTACAATCAATAAGTGCCCGCGATGGGCCGAGCTAAACTTATGATGGTCGCTGGCCTGGTCCTCCTCCGCACCCCAACTGGCAACTTCAATTCACAGCTGGCGCCCAAGAATTTATTTATGGTGCCCACAACGTAACGTAACGTATACGATTGTGATTGTTTTCCAATTCCATTCCTCGTAGGCATACATTTTGATAGTAGGAAACTAGGAATATAGTAACTGTGAATCGAAAGAGGCAGCAGCTGCAACTTGAATTGGTTCCCCACTCTAGCCACGTGTACATTTCTCATGGCCCATACGTGACACATGCATCATGGGACAGCACAAGAATTGGTCACTTGGGAAATGGGCTTTGGTCCATCAGTAGGCAACACTATGAGTCTGGTGAGATTTACTCATTGACTCGTTTAAATGAAATTATTAACAACTTTTTTATAGAATTCCACGAGACTCAAATTTTGGAAACAACAAGAAAATTACTTATTGTCGTTTTCACTACACAATATAGTACAAAATATTTTATGGCCGGCCTGCAAGAGACGAAGATTTATGGCCAAACGAGGAAAAGAACGGCAATGGCAATGATGAAAAAGGTGGGTAGGAGGTGGTGGTTGGAAGAAAAAAATAATAATAACGAGGGATTTCAAAATAGTTGATGGGACCGGCTATTTCAGAATCCTTCATTTACATATTTTTGAAATCTCTCATTTTTTTGTCTTTCAAATGTAGAATTGTTGCAAACTCTGGAAAAGTGATTGGGTCAAAATCCTGCACCACAATTTCTCATCCAAAAACTCCACAAGATTTTTCAAAGTCAAAATCGTCATTTTCAATTCCAACATGCAAATGAGGTTTAAATTCCGCTCATACACTCAATCACTTCGCACTCACACATATTGGTTGCGGGAACAATGAATTGGTTTAAATAACTTTAGCATTCATGTTCATCTCAATAATTTCATGATTGAATTTTGTAAGTAACACTTAACAATAAAATTTAGGTTTAATACACTTGTATATCCAAAACTTTCACGGTTGTGCCAATAATATCCAAATTTCCCATGTCCAATTTTAAGGTTAGGACAAACAAGTCAGGATGGCAATGGGTCGGGTCGGGGACGGATAGTGTATATCCGAGTTCGGGTTTTACCCATACTCACATAAGAAACGGGTAGAAAATCAAAACCATGCCCATATCCGTCGGGTTTCGGGTATCCACGGCTATCCACGGGTAATAATTTCTCTTTATAACTCCAACCAATATGTTAACATTCAAATGTATTCTCACACTACACAAGAAGAAAATTACAACACTAATTCACTACAATGAAGAAAATTAATTAAAACAACACAATTTCATGTAAAATATTATATTTACATGCTAAATATAAAATATATTAGAGAAAATAATGATTATTTCTCGACAAAATACATATGCATGTGTATAATCGGGCGGGTTCGGGTTGGATAGTGAGAAAACTATGCCCACCCATTACCCGCAATATTCGGGTTCAGACTTTACCCGTACCCACTAAAAGTCTTTCTGGTTCGGATTCTACACTACCCGATTAGGCCGAATTCGGATGGATATCCATGATTACGGATACTTTTGCCATCCCTACAAACAAGGGTTTGGCCTAGTGGCAAAATTTTGGTTTCTAAAATGCAAAATATGAAAGCACAGATACTAAAATGTAATTTATCATTTGGATTTATGGATCAACCCATGAATTCACTGATCCAATTGGATTTGGATCAAATGTATTGAATTAGTTGGATATTTTAGTATATTTTAGTGTATATATTAGAATATCTAGTTGTACTGCTTTTGTCTATCACGTGGCCACTCCTCGTCCATTCATATTCCCATGTGCATAAAATGTCCTGGGGCAAGTGCCAACAACCTATGTATATTTTTCCCATGCGCATAAAATGTCATGGTGCCAAGTGCCGACAACCTATGTACGATTGGTGTGTGAGAAGTGAGAACCTTCTTTGTTTGCAACTAGAGGGTAGGTAGTAGTAGGAGGTAATATAGGTAGCGGATAAGGTCAGTAACTCTTATGGTGAGTAACCATCAGTAATCTGTTCACATCCGCATGACATCATCATCCCTTCTTTCCTGGAAAGTTTTTTATCTTTTCGCCTTTAATCTTTAACGAATAATTTCTCTCTCGTTTTAAGTCGAAATTTAAATTTTTTTGCACAGATAAATCAGATTAAATGTGCTCTTGAAAATAATATTCACTTTGATATATTTTTAGTACAAAAAAATTGAATAATTTTTTACCAGTCATTACCATATGGTATGCTCATATTTAATATCATATGGTAAGAAAGCGTACCATGATGATATGAACAAGGAAATGTTCTTCTCGGTCTATTGGATTGTATACATGTCTCCATACCTTAAAGAAGGAATCAAATAAAAGTTAAATCCAGAACTTGAGCTTTCATTTTTTGTTCTACTCATTCACAAACCAACATTCAACATCAGATGCAGGCAAATGGCATGTGGAGGGTGAAGTCCCACAGTTGTACATACAAAAACTGATAAACAGCTCAGCTATTTCCCCCATTCCACATGCAAGCTACTACTACTTGCTACATTTATGCATACACAATATGTCCCTTCCTGTTCTGTCATATTCAAACTCCATTTCGGGCAAACTGTATACCGTCGGCCAGGTAGCAGCAACAGCACACTCTCTGCCCATTTTACGATCCGGAGTTCGGGACAAGGAGCTAGAACTCGCTGGGGATATAAAGGAAACACAGTACTCTTGCTCAACGACATATTGCTCATCTAAAAGCTGGAAGAAATTCATGGAACACTTAACGAACAATCAACACTATAATCGTCACGTCTCTACAAGGAATGACATATTGTGGCATACATTTGCTTGCAATGACATTTACATTCATCGAGCTAATCTAGCAAGGTCATCTGATGTCGTAAAATTGCCTCAAAACTTCAACCACAAGGGAGCACGGGCCTTACGAGTAGACAAGGGGATCTATTAATGGAGGCATATCTTTCGAACACCTAGGTGAGTTGAATGCTCCACTATTTATGAGTTAAGACTGTAAAAATCCCTTGATATCTTCAAACCAGGTCGCTGTTGGGTAGAAATGATAGAGTAATTTGTAGATAACTCCCAACTTCAACCCTTCCAGCCTATTGCCTTCAGATCGCCTAGTTTAAGTTCAATATGCTTTCCAATCCTGAGATTCAAAAACAAATTTAGCACAGAATTCATCCAGTTAGGATCATCAGGTAGGAGCTTCGTTAACAAAAACTTGGGTGACAGCCTATTTAAGTACTTGTAACCCCTTCATGGATACTGTGATAATATTTCAGTGGGAAACCCGATACTGTGATAATATTTCAGTGGGAAACCCAATATGCTCTTCAAATACCTAATTACTGTTGTTCTAGTATATAATTAGTTACATTCATAGAAGGATCATGAAAATACTTATCCTAGATCTACTGGAAGTCTGTAACCACCAATACGTACACGCTTCAACGCATATATTTGGTCAAAGGTTGAACATTAACTCGGAATAAGTCAGAAAGAATCTAATCGATTACCAAAGATGAGCATGGTTCCTAATTGGTACAGATTTCAATGCAAAATGATTAACGCGAACACAGAGTCAATGAGACAACAATATGTTGCTTCAGCTAGTAATATAAATACTTTCAAGCATGGTTGTCAAACCGGTCTCATGCCGGCCGGTTCAACCGGGTACAACCGGTACCGGTCACCAAACCGACTGGAAAGAGGCTGATATTTAACTGTGGTCAAATCCGGTCAATGACGGTCAGACCCGGTCAATTTCGAAAATTCCGGCCGGTTAGACCAGAAGCCGCAATTCAATGTTCACATATTTTATCCAAATTACTGTTGTTCTAGTATATAATTAGTTACATTCATAAAAGGATCACGAAAATACTTACCCTAGATCTACTGGAAGCCTGTAACCACCAATACCACCAATACGTACACGCTTCAAAGCATATATCTGGTCAAAGGTTGAACATTAAGTCGGAATAAGTCAGAAAGAATCTAATCGATTACCAAAAATGAGCATGGTTCCTAATTGGTACAGACTTCAATGCAAAATGATTAATGCGAACACAGAGTCAATGAGACAAAATATGTTGCTTCAGCTAGTAATATAAATACTTTTAAGCATGGTTGTCAAACCGGTCTCATGCCGGCCGGTTCAACCGGGTACAACCGGTACCGGTCACCAAACCGGCTGGAAAGAGGTCGGTATTTAACTGTGGTCAATCCGATCAATGACGGTCAGACCCGGTCAAGTCCGAAAATTTCGGCCGGTTAGACCAGAAACCGGAATTCAATGTTAACACATATTTTATCCCAATGCAGTTAAAAGCGTGATTCTACCTACAAGCGGAAAATGGGTAAAATCGTAAAGCATAGAATCAAAGCGTAAAAGCGTAAGTTTTTGATACATACTAAAAAATAACTAAAAATCTTTTAAGTAGGACATATACTGTGTAAAATATGAATGCTCAGAATTTATATAAGTTAATAAATACATGCAATTCATGCCTAAAGTAAAGCAACTTATAGCATCTACATAATAAGTTCGTAAACATAAATCTTAACAATAAGCCACCTTTTCCTATATGCTAATGAATTCGGGAAGAGCCTAGCTGGTGAATTAGATTACTCTATTGAAGTTAAGAATGCATCAAAGTACCTGGTATGTATCTTTTAATCTCAAATTCATCATATTGTTGGTGATTTACTTTTAAAATATACTTTTTATAATTAATTTCATGAAAAGAATACTCATTTAGTGAACTAAAAGCGTAAAAACGTAAAGCGTTTTGGTGAACTATAATCGTAAAAGCGTAAGCTTTTAAGCTTTAAAGCGCAATTTAGTCCAATTTTATGCACTTAAGTTTTTATATGAAAACGAAAACGTTTTGGTGACCTAAAAGCGTAAAATCGTAAGTTTTTAAGTTTTAAAGCGCGATTTTGACTGCATTGTTTTATCCAAAAAAAGGTAATCTCCTTAGGATTTGAACAAAGTACCTCATGTTCATTTTAGACTCTCTTATACACCAGTAGGCTACAAGCAACTTTGTTGTATATATTAACCTTATAGTTTATATATATCTAACACTAAATTTTACACAAATGATTATATACATTAATAAAATTCATTTTATATACTTTTATTTTTAAGCATCTAATTGTTTAGTATTAGTTACCAATTTTTAGCTATAAATTATTTTGTGTGAAATAATTTTCCTAATTGCTTTTTGATGACTAACGGAGTGTAGAAATTAGAATAAGAAAACCCTAGCACTACTTTATGAAACAACTAACAAATAAGATCAGAGGAAATTGGAGATAGCAAACGTAGTGAGGAACAACGAATGTTAAAATAACAGGTATAGTGACTTCGCATTTTTCATTGTAGTGGATGGGATGGCAACTGCTTCCCGAAATACAAAAGTAGAATTTATTTGAACTGCACGAACCTAAATTTTTCTCCAGATGTAACGTTGTATCATTTTATGAAATACTTGCAAACTTAACTTAAGGTTGATGGAAAACGAGGAGAAAGTCTGTGCAAAAGAAAGCAGTTGTTGTAAGAAATCCAATTTAATCCACTATGACAGAATCATGAGCACATTTCTGAAAGCAACTAGTCACCTCGTTGAAGAGAAAATATCCAATTGTGTGTAGAAATAGTAGTGACAGGTATGTATAACAGAGTACCCAGCAGCAACAAGAAGCTACGCCCAGTATTAGCAATAACTACCACACACATTGGTGAAAGAAAATTACCACTATACGAAGTCGAGCTCTTGGCATATCTGGTTGACGTGGTAGCAGCTCAACAGAATCAGGTGTGCAGTGTACACCGTCAACAACTGTCCCTTTAGTGATAGCCATCAGATGGCGGTTTCCAACAGTACCTTCTACAGTTGCTATGTATCTGTAGTTGACCAAGGTTATATGACAGATCAAAGTAAACACATTGTTTTGATTCTCAAGGTTCTTGTACATACTAAAAACCTGCATAATCAACTTTGATTGACTGATAGCAATAGGCAATTGATTTGAAAGAAAGAAAGAATTGAAACGTACTCTTTTGTCAACTTGAATGAAGGATGTGTCAATGCTTGAGCAAAATCTCCTGCAGATTAAGGCATGCAGAGTTGATAATTTTGTACTCTCATAGCAATGTTGTGTGCGTGGTTAAGGTAAGGATATATACCATCATTAGTCACAATAATCAACCCAGACGTAGCAACATCAAGGCGCCCAACGGTGAACAATCTCGGTTTAGGCAGACCTGGATTCAACTTTCCCTGGCCATTAGAAATATCCAAAACTCGTTAGCTGAACAGAAAAGAAAATAGAGAAAACCTAGCCGAATGATATATTCCCCATTCGCCCCTTTCACGAAATCATATCACCGAGTCTTGCTTGACACATAAGAAGCTGAAAATGACTACATCAGCACTTACCCAACCTGACAAATAATCATCAAAAAGTTCCATCACAGACTTCGACTCCTTCTCTCCAGATGAACAAATGTACCTGCCACAAGCCATGTTCATCACCTTGAAGTCACGAAACAACATGCATACCCATTAGGGGGGAAAAAAATGGAGCAACCAGAGAAAGCCTAAGGCCATGGTTCACCAACCCTTTCGGCTTGTTAAGGGCTATATAAACCTTTGGAGGCAACTTCTTCGGAAGTCGATTTCCATTAACATAAATCATATCTTTGGCAGGATCAACCCGAGTCTGAAGAAGACATTGACATTCAGCGCTAACATGAAATTGGATTCAAGCGAAAACAATATTTTAGCTTAAATGAACCATTACAAGCGTAGTACTAACTCACCTGCGGAGTATTGCACACAGAACCATTAACAGTCACCTTGCCTGCGAAAATCAGCTCCTCGCTGCTCCTTCTAGAAGCCACTGCTCAAACAACCAAACGAACCAAAAAGGGGAAACAGATGTTTAATCAACAAGTAGTTCAAGGAGAAGCAAAATTCATCAATTCTATCACCGTCACCTCCAGCAGCGGCGAGAACTTTGCTGAGTCGCTGAGCAGAGTCCCTAAAATTCTCGTTATAGAACCTCCTAGCAGCCTTGGAGCGGGTCGGTGGCGGCGGGGCAGCAGCTGAAGCAGTAGCGCCGACATTAACCGGCTTCTTCGGCTTCTCCTTCTTCTTGGGCTTCCCGGTATTGGCATTAGCCAGCTCGTGAAGGAGACGAGAAGGCGATTGAGTCTGTAGTTGGAGGTTTCCATCTTCGCCGCGGGTAATCCAGGGAATGAAAAGCTGGCGGCCGGTGCCGCCGTCGATGAAATCGAACTGGGATTTGGGCTTGGGTTTAGAAGGGGCGAAGGTTATGTTAAATTCCACAGGAGGAGAAGAAGAAGAGGAGCAGGAGATGTGCGGGAAGGTCTGAGGAAAGTGAACGCAGAAGAAGAAGAAGTAGAAGGAGAATGCTTTGAGAAGAAGATGAGGTGATGGAGATGGAGAGACGAGATTGAGGACGCCATTTTTGCTCACCTGGAGCAGAGAAAGGCGGGGGTGGGTTTTTTGTTCGTCATTTCGATCTGGGCCGAAAGGCCCAATTTAGACGGGTACGAATAGTCAGGTGCAAAGGCCCAACTCTTTTCTTTTCTCCGAGGGGAACACAGGCCATTTGCGAAGCCCAATTATGACGGCTAATAATAGGGTCTCAACTCTCAACTTAAAATCCTATTGAGTAGGGGTGAACAAACATACCTGCAAACCGACCCACCCGTCCAAACCGACCCAACCCATCCGTATTTATCGCTAAAACAAAGATTTTGGGTTGGGTGAGGGTTTTGTTTTGTACAACCCGCCTCTTTTGGGTTGGGTTTGGATTTTGGATTACACAACCCGTAGAACCCGACCCAACCCGTGTTCCAACTATTAGTATGAGTTCGTATCTAAAAAATATTTATGTCGTATATAGCCATACTTATGAGAAAATTAAGATATTTTGCCATGTTTTTCTCTCATGGTCTCCCTATTCTAATACATTATTTGACTTAAAGTTTAGACATAAATTGAATATAGTTATGATTCACGTAATCGTTTTTCTTGTGTACAGTTTTAATAGAATAACATATTGTGGGTGCGTTTGTTTATAACCTTTTTAGCCTATTTCAACAAATATCGTGAAAAAAACTAGACATATTTTGAAGTAAATCACATTTTATTAAAATTCAAACAACATTTGTGAATTTTGATACATTTCACCACGGTTTATTCGTTTGAAATTTTAATTAGTTATAAAATATTTTTATGATGTAGAATAATTATATATTTTATGTTGGGTTGGGTTTTTACTTAAAAATATCGCCAACCCGACCCAACCCAATTAGAAACAAACCGTAGGGTTTAAATTTTTTTGGGTGGGTTTGAATTTGATATTTTCCAAACCGTATTGCATGGGTTGGGTGATTAAAATGGCTAAACCCGGACCACCTGACCCATGTACACCCCTACTGTTGAGTGAATTCCTTCTCAATCAACTGAGGGCTCCCATCCGTTAGCACCTGTTAGCACTTAGCGGTAGTCGATGAGTCAAAGATCCACTTTCAGGATTCATCTTCACAGTCACACAGATTAATTGTGCGAACAAGGATTTGATCTAATAATCTTATCGTTGTTCTTCATCTTATAAGTTTGATGATTGAATTCTTTAAATAACACCTAACAATAAAAATAAGTCAATATTACCCTCATAAAAAATATGGTTAGATCAATACAAGAGCTACTAGGACTGTCGGTTGCGAGAAAAGGAAGAGAAAAAAGAAAGAAAAAAACATATTGTGCTATCTCCATCTCCTCGACCAATCAATCATCTTCCCATGTACATAACTTCAATTCCATTATTCCAATCATCTCCTGCTGATGGGCAGCACTATGGTCGTTGGCATGCTCATTCACACCTTTAAATCAAATGACTTTTCACTTTGATGGTTAGCTAGCTTCATTAACTCGGCCGGCCGTAAATATTTTTTAGGTTTTTTATATTTCGCTTTTCATATTTTAATTATTTGAACTCGATTTTAACAACTAATTTAGATACCGGTAGAAATATACATGTGTAAAAATATTATGAAAACCTTACTATACACATACTAAATTTTTTTGGCCTTACATTTTGATACATAAACTATTCAAATTTTACAAATAAGTCAAATTTTTGTATATATAGTTAAAACACCATCGAATAAAATACAAATGCTTATTATTAATTAATTAGGAAGCTCCAACAACGACAACTTCTGGATTGCATCATCTGGTTTGTTTATGTTCTCTGTTAGCTAGCCAGCGTGCATCATCATCATCTCCAACAGAGCTTCCAAGTCTTTGCCAGCACTGCCATTTGGTCCAGCAGCAGCCAGCATCTTCTCCCTAAGCGCACCAACATTCGCCCTCATCTCCCTTCCCTTCTCCTCTCCCAAAACAACAGCCAAACACCTGCAAACCCCATCTTTGGTAAAGATCCCGCCTTCAACGCCAACGCCGATATCCCAAACCTCTTCCACCCACCTCGCGACGATGTGATTGTCAGCCCAAACCGGCCTGCAGATCAACGGCACCCCGCCGAAAATGCTCTCCAAAACGGAGTTGTAGCCACAATGCGTCACTTGGACCCCGATCGCTCCGTGCCTCAGCACCTCCACTTGCCGCACCCAGGGAACCACCTTCCCGTACTCTCGCGTCCTCTCCACGAACCCACGTGGCAGCTTCTCCATCAGTCCCTCCCTCAACGACCACAGGAACGGGGACCCACGCGCCTCGAGCGCTTCGGCCAGCCCACGCAGCTCCTCGTCCCCTAGTCCTGGTGGTGGCAAATGTATTGAATTTGTGAATTGGTGTATTCGTGAATCTACCGCGGATCGAATAATCAATTGGATTGGTAGATTCATGAATTGGTGGTTCAAGTCGATTGGTGGATTATCCATGAATTTTCAAATGGCATTCTCAACTTTTAACCAATATGAAAATTTTGAAAAGTTAAACGTCGTTTTCCCAATGATATTTTTCGGATTAAAATTAAATTTTGGATACTAAATTGTAAAAATAAAATAAAATTTATAGTTATTAAATTGTAATTTTCCAAGTATCTATGAATTCAATCTATGAATCCACCAATCCAATTAGATTTGGATCAAATGAATTGAATTTCAAATGTATCGGATTAGTTGGATATTTCTAATAAATTGGTGAAATTGGATTGAGAACTGCCACATCTACCTGCGATGCCCCCGAAGCTCACGTACGCGACGGATCCCGCTCTCTGCTTCTCCAGCCACGGGAAGATCGTACCATCGTCGTCGTCACTGTTGACCAGTGACGACGACGATGACGGCGTCGTCGTAAGTACTGATGGCAACGTCAGGCAACCCGCGAAGAACAGCTTCCCCAGCTGGGGTTTATGGTCTGGACCGTCGAGAAAAAATGAAATGCTGCTGCTAAGTGGTGTACAGCATATTTCTCGGGAAGCGTTCAGCACGATGGCCGACGCTTCCGGGAGTGCCCTCATGATGGGGCCCAGGTACGGCATGCCAGTGGGCTGGAGCGAGTTTTCGGGGAGGTCGTTGAAGCGCAGCGGGGAGAACCCAGGGATGATTTGGTTATGATCATCGTCGGGAGAAAGCAGCTGGAGGGAGAGCTGATAGATGTGATCCATTTGAGAGAAAGGGTGGAGGGCGAAGGGAGCATTGACCCACAGAGCTGCCCATGGAACCTCCATCTCCTTGGCCATGGGTGCAACTCCTACCGCGCAGAGAGCGTCCGCTATGATGTAAGAGATCTTCTTCTTCTTCTTGTTGCTTGCCTTCGTCGCTGCGTCGATTCCTTGCTTGAAGTTCCCGGGCATGGCCTCGTTGAAGCGGTCCATGTGGTAGAAGTTTTTGTGGTTATCTGCTGCTTCTTTTGCCGAGTTGTTGTGGTCGGGGAGGCCATCGGAGATGGTGTGGAGCTTGAGGTTGGTTGGTGGAGGAGCGTTGTTGTTTCTCGGGTAGAGAAGGGAGAGTTTGTTTGTGTGTGTGGTGAGGAAGGAGAAGTCGGTTTGTGGTGACGAGGTTGCTAGTTTGATTGTCAAGTTGAAAAGAGCGGTTGGGTGGCATGTGAACGGGAAAGGGCAGATGACTATATGGCCGCCGTCGACATTCTCTAGTCCTTGTTTGGACGTCGGTGACATTTTGCCGGTCGACTTGGTGCTAGCTAGCTAGCTGGTTTCTGCGTTAAATATTGTATGTTTCTCACTGGCCGGCGGAGAGGGACAAAGATGGGTTAAATAAGACCCACACATCATGCATCAATTCATATGAATGCTACTCAGAAGCAAATGCGTTAAAACCTGTACCTCAACACAATATTTATTCACACCTACTTCAGCAAGCCACAACCACTTAGGTATTGATTATTTATGGGAGTTGGGTGATGGATTCGATACTGAATCATTATGCAATTGACATAACTTATTGTTTTTTTGAGATATATAGATTCGGGGTACATAGATTTGGACTTTTTTTTTATATCTATATCGTGGACGACAAAAATATAATTTGAAAATTTCATATTTTATTTAGGATTTGATTATGGAGTGCGAAAATTTGAGACCGCTATGGTACGAAAAAATCTTTAAATACTTGGGTAAGAAAAGCTAAATAAAAACATGAGTTTTTTTTCAAATTCATAATACAACAAATTAATTCATCATAAATCTTACGTTTTTCCAAAACTCGAAAACCACAATTTCAAATCCAATACCCAAACGAGATCTTTTAAGACTTCCGCTCAAGGTTGTCAACCCGTGGGTTGACCCACTTTGACCCTGGCCCGATGAGAAAAACGGGTCGCACGCACCCGTCGGGTCGACCGCTACAAGGTATCACATTGGAGGTCAATTTGTGTCATTTTTTTCTTTGGTTTGCGAAGTGCGCCTATTTTCCGATTTTTCTCTTCGCCTAGCTCAATCTTTGGAATCCTTAGTTGAGCATTTGAATATTGATGTTATATAAGTGTGTGAATTTTCGCTATATGTTGAATCTAAGTACGGCATGTTACTTTGGTGTAATGTTATACATTATTACTCATATGTTAGATGAGACTTGATATAATTTATCAAGATAAGTAGAATATAATAACTCTTTCCTTATTTCCGGACTAAAGCAGACTAAAACGGGTGACCCGTTAACCCTTGACCCATTAGCTCGACCGTGTTCGGATCAACCCGCTGGTTGACAACCTTGATTCCGCTCATCCACTCAACCATCAATAAGTGTCGCTGATGGGTCGTTGGCCTGGTCATCACCTGTCACCACAACTTCAATTCAATTCACAGCTGCGCCACACGAATTAATTTATGGTGCCCACAACTATCTATGATTAATGTGTGACAAGTGAAGTGACAACCCTTGTTTGTTTCCAATTCGTGGTAGGTAGTAGGTTTCTAGGTATACAAGGGAGATCCCATCAATAACTATATAATTAGTAACTATACATAACTCTACATTTATCATGGAAGATAATTAACCTTTTTCCAATTTATTTTAACATGATATATCTTTTTTCATTTAAGTCCGTATATATATATTTTTACAGATAAGTCAGATTAGTTGTGTTTCAAATTGACATACACTTTAAAATATTTTGGGGAAAAAATTAAGATATTTATTACTGGTCCATAAGACATACACTTTAATATATTTTGGTACAAAAAAATAGAGACATTTATTACTGGTCCATACATGTGGTAATGCTTGATAGTATATAATATTATAGTGGGGAAAGCTTTGACAGACATGGCGATCTCCTTCTTTGAAAATGGGTCTCTGCCAGAAGAGGTTTCCTCGTCTACAGTCGTGCTCATACCAAAGGTGGAGAATCCGGAGTCTGTCAGCCAGTTGCGGCCAATTTCCCTAAACAACGTCAATCTCAAGGCGATCACTAAAGCCATGACTAGCAGACTTAAGCCGCTAATGAGGAAGTTGATTTCCCCTCGCCAGAGCAGTTTCATCCCGGGAAGACAGACGTCGGACAATATCCTTATTGTTCAGGAAGTGCTGCATTCCCTCAGGAAGAGGAAGGGGAAGAAAGGGGGGATTGTGGTGAAGATTGATCTTGAAAAGGCATATGACAGGTTGCGATGGGACTTTCTCAGGGACACTTTGATAGAAGTAGGCCTCCCAAGCTCCTGGATTCACTGCATTATGTACTGTGTGGAGCACAATCACATGCGTATTCTGTGGAATGGAGAGCTCTCGCAGCCTATCACTCCAACCCGCGGAGTCCGCCAGGGAGATCCCCTTTCACCCTATCTTTTTGTTCTTTGTATTGAAAGATTGTCGCATAGGATTGATCAGGCAGTGCGGGACAAAGCCTGGAAACCTATTAAACTCTCGGTGAATGGCCCGGCTCTCACCCATCTTTTTTTTGCAGATGATCTCATTCTGTTTGCCGAGGCGGAGAGATCTCAAGTGCGGGTCATCAAGCAATGTCTGGAGGACATTTGTGAGAGTTCGGGTCAACGGGTCAACTTCAGCAAATCTTCCATGTTTGTGTCGCCAAATGTCAGGGAGGAGACAGCGCAGTTGTTAAGCGCCAGAGCTTTGATTCCTCTCACCAAGGATCTGGGGCGATATTTAGGGATTCATGCCATTCATGGTAGGGTCTCTAAGAATCGCTACCAGAATCTCATCCTGAGGATTAAGAAAAAGCTAGCGCCTTGGAAGGCTCGCCGCTTGTCCCTGGCTGCGAGACTGACGGTGGTTCGATCTGTATCCTCCTCCATTCCTACCTACTCTATGCATACTGAACAATTACCTGTTAATGTTTGCAACTCTATAGACAAAATTAATAGGGATTTTGTTTGGGGCAAAGAGGAAGACCAGGGAAGGATGCACCTCGTGGCTTGGGAGAAGCTCTTGGAACCGAAGTGGCAAGGAGGAGCGGGACTTCGGAGCTTAAGGCAAGCAAACCTCTCCCTCCTAGCCAAGACAGGCTGGCGCCTTCTGACGGAGAAAGACAACCTTTGGGGCCAAATTATGAAGGAAAAGTATGGAAGGAAGCGGAATGGGCTGGAGATGCTCCGGTCGTGTCAGGGAAGTTCTTTTGCTTGGAGAAGCATGACTAAAGCTTCTGCTTTGTTGAAACAAGGCCTTGCATGGAATATTCACAATGGTAAAAACACTAATTTTTGGAAGGATGTATGGTGTCTGCAGGTTCCCCTGATCGATGTTGCGGTGCAACCCATCCCGGAGGAGAGGCTGGCGGATTCAGTGGCAGACTATGTGGACGAGGATGGATGCTGGGACGTGGGTCGTTTGGAGAGCTGGCTGCCAGAGGAAGCCCTGAACAAGGTCATGGCGGTGGCGGTCGATACGCTCTCGGCCACCGAAGATACTCTTTTCTGGTCGGCTTCGGAAAACGGTCGATTCACAGCTAAATCAGCTTACCTCATGGCGTACCCCAGACATTCGGGGCACAGTGAAGGCCTTTGGAAGAAGATTTGGCGGCTTCATGTCCCGTAAAGAGTTTGTTGTTTTACCTGGCTGGTGGCTTTGCGAAAGATTGCAACCAATGTGCTTCGTTTCACCAGGAAGTGCGCGGATTCCCCAGACTGTCACAGATGCGCTGGCACTCCGGAGACTATCCTGCATACTCTCCGTGACTGCCCGCCGGCTGCTTATTTCTGGTATAGACAGGTGCCCCTTGCGGAGCACTGATATGATCCAAATCCGAAGAGAACCCTCGAACTCGGATTATATGACCAAAGTACGCAGCTTCAACGATCTTTTTATGATTTTCTGATGTCGCCTTTCTTGAACTCGAAAAATAAAAGATAATGCGGAATCAATCGGACAATCCCAACCGTGATGAAGGGCAATTGGTATATGAAACCAATCGGACAGCACCAACTCGTGGAAAGGGGCAATTGATATAGGGTAGAAGCTCGCCACAACTAGACGCGTTCTCTAGTTGATAAGAGACACGTGAAACCCCTGGAGACTCTCGACAGAAGCTTGCACAAACTTTCACAAAGGAACACGAGTAAAAACTCTTAATTGATAATTTGAATGTTGGGTACAAAATTCGTAACTCTTATATCCTCTATTTATAGAGGTCTCAAAAACATAAGACTAACCTAAAAGGAATAAGAAAACAAATCACAAACTAACTAGGAAACATAATAATAAATTAAACAAATAAAACTCCTCTTGCACAGCACGCTGCAACGCTTTCCTTTTCCTTAGCAGCTGCGGACTCTTCTTCCATTCTTTCCATTGCGGTTGCAGAATCCTTGTCCATTTGCGAATTGGCTTCCTTTTAATTGCTTCTTCCAACCATGCACACGTGAAGGAAACCTACCAAATAAACTAAACTAATTAATTCATCAAGCACTAGTCGATATTGCATCAAGCACTACAGTTTCTTCTCGGCTTCTGTTGAGGATTGGATCAACAGCAATGTTAACCAGGACAAGGAAATGGAGTCAGGTATGGCTTGGAATGAGTTTTTTGCCTCGGCTATTTGGTTATTGTGGAAGATCAGGTGTACAGCTTGCTTCAAAGGGACTGGAGCTGCGCTGACTGCTCCCACTCTGGCAAATTCTATCCTCCACAAGGCTTCTCTTTGGCACACGGCGTGGAAGTCGGACAATGCAAGTCAGCTTCAAGGCTCCCCGGCAGCGCCTAGGGTCCTGGCGAACATCAGATGGATTGCTCCCCCCAACGGATGGATGAAGTTAAACGTTGACGGGGCCTCGGCTGGGAATCCTGGGCAGGCTGGCGCGGGAGGGCTAATCCGGGACGAGCATGGGAGGTGGCAAGTTGGTTTCGTGGCCATGATCGGGGAGGCGACCGCGGCTTTGGCCGAACTGTGGGCTCTGTTTCATGGGCTGAATCTCGCATGGAAGTACAGGTGCATCAACCTTTTGATCGAGACGGATTCTCAACTTGTGATTCAGTGGTTAAAGAGCAGGAGTGACCCTCTACATCCTCATGCTTCTTTATTGGCTTCTATCAGGAGACGTATGGCGCAAGACTGGTTGGTTAACATAGCTCATACATACCGAGAAGGGAATAGAGCCGCGGACTGGCTCTCGAAGCACAGTCTCGTCTATCCCTATGGTGTGCATGAGTTTGTTAACCCACCTACTGGTATTGGTAGCATTTTGCAAGATGACATGAGAGGGATCTCGTTTGAGCGAAGAGTGATTGCCACCCGTGCTTTTTAACCTCTTTTCCTCTGTACCCCTTTCTTGGCGTTAGCCTCCCTGTACGCAAAAAAAAAAATATATATATATATATATATATATATATATATATAATATTATATCTCGTGGTATGAAAGCATATTATGATGGTATGAATATATCAGACCGTAGAATGGTTGGATACATAATGATAGGAATATATTATACCATGGTGATATAAAATGATATATTTGATTTTGACATTTTTTCATAAATTTTTTGTAAAAGTAATAGATCAGGACAAACTCGTTTATTAGGCAATATATTTCAAAATTCAAGTTAAAAACGAACTAAGTGATACCAGGCAGTGGCGTAGCTAGAATTTTGCTTTAGGGGGGTGCTGATTTAAAAAAAAAAACTTTGTTAATTTCACTTTTCCTAGATCTGAAACTAAGCTTAAAATGGTTTACCCGGAGAGATTGTTATGACATTACTGGTGTAGTTGAGTTAGAGTTAAATGTAGGTGCATTTGAGGAATTAACTTCATGCCCTTGAACATTTTGAGTTGTTTTGACAATTTTTATCAAAATTTCTCCATGATAAAAGCTACATATTTAAAAAAAATGGAGTAACCAAATAATTAATTGAAAAAACTCAATTAGACTGGGAACAATAACAATAAGAAACCACAATGACAATCTCTACTTACAGGTTGGGACGGTAATAATGAGAAATTGGTCAATTGGGATGAGGTGATGCTTACCTTTGTAGCCGTTCTCTATTCTTCCGACTGAGCCTCTTCCCATTTCACCATTATTCTGATCCATTCCGGCATCAATCTTGAGATCCTCCCATCAACTGCATTTGTGTCGTTGCCTTCCAGCTTTGATTCAAGTCCCCCGTCCAACCCCTCTCCACGAAACGCCTCGTCGCCGTCTCTGTATCCGAAAGTTAAAAAAAAGAAGCAAGTTGTATGATTTTCCTGTGGCTGACAAGCTCGTGCTGCTGCAGAATTTTGGAGGTTTGGTGCGGTTGAGGTTTCTTGAATTTCAAGTCACTTTGCACGTTCTGTTCTGTATCAAATCCCCATCGATTTCTCCTCTCCACCGCGGCGCAATAGGAAGAAGAATCTGTCACCCGAATAACTAGAACCCTCGAGGGCGCTTTGGCATTCCTGAACAATGGCAAAACTATCTCAGATTCCTAACCTAGACCACTCACCACTTCAAGTCTTCCACACATACTAGTCCATAAAAAAAAAGTTCAAAGATAGGAGCAGGAAGCAATAGAAAATTCCATTATAAAACAAAGATCATACTTACAATAAGACAAAATTCCCTCCATAATTCAAATTACATGACCTGTTCTACACCAACCTCATCCCCCCTAAACAATACCATGACACAAAAAGGAATCACATTGACAGCAGCTACATGAAAACCCTATAAATACTTACTTTTCTTTTCCATCTGGCTAACAACTGTATCCCCTTTGTGGACATCATACATTATATTACTACACAAAGGTATAAGTCTACATTTGACTCTTTCTTTTGTATACCTGTAGGCTGTATGTATCAATCATAAACCCACCAGTCCACCACCCCATTTCCCTCTCCTTTATTTTACATTGCTGCAGTCATTTGCAGCAGATGATCATAATCCTCGATGTCATGCTGCAAAGGCATTACTTGAAGACCAGACCAAGTCTCAAAAGAAGCCGGCTTGATTTCTTCCCAATGTTATAAACAATTAGCCACTGAACTTTTCCCTTCAACTACTATACAATGTGTCAAAAACCAGTTCGACATCCAACAAAACTACGTGTAACTTACAATCCGCCTATGTACCCTCCATCTCCAGTATCCAACAACTTGACTGCACACACAATACATTCTCAGGAAACCCCCCCTGGTCACTGCCAACCGACTTGCCCACTCCCATTTGGGTCGGGTAGCCTCGGAGGTGTGCACCGAGACACAGAAATCCACATAAACTACAAATGTGTTCAGAATTGGGTACCTGGAAGACTTAAAGACTAAGGCTTTTGACTAGGCTGCGGGATCAACCCGCTGGAGTAGCTCCAATAAGCTCCCAGCCTTCCGTTTCGCCCTATCAGTGCCACTCTCCGCTAATTCCTTCAATGCCTCCTCCGCAGCCAACTCCTTGGCCACTCTCAACTGCTGTAAATCGCCACCTGTGCACAAGGACCACATTACGGCGGCTGCATTCTCCCTGTTGCGAGGAGATCCAGTTCTGATCACCTCCATCAGCGCTGGAATGGGATCTGCCAACCCGATTGCCACCTTACCTTCCTGATGGCTCGCGAGAACCGCAAGGATCGCCAGAGCTTCATCCACCATCCCGCAACCAGCATCCTTTAACAGTCTCATCAACGGTGGCACGATCCCGGCCCTAACTGCTCTTGCTTTATTGCCCTGGTATATAGAGAGATTGAATATGGCAGTGGCTGCGTCCTTCTTCCCACGTGGCGACCCCTCGCATAGCAAGTTGATCAGTGCTGGGATTGCGCCAGCTGCTCCTATTGCCACCTTGTTCTCGTCCACGACCGAGAGACTGAAGAGGGTAGCCGCTGCATTTTCCCTCGCTTCCATGCTTCCGTTCTTCAGAACATCCACGATGTCTGGTATGGCTCCCGCATTAACGATCATGCCCTTGTTTGCATCGTTTATAGAGAGGTTGAGAAGCGCTGTGACAGCATGTTCTTGAGTGCGAGCATCGGGAAATGAAAGTAATTCCACGAGGAGAGGAATGGCTCCTGCTTCAGCGATACAGACTCTGTTGTCAGCATTCCTCTTTGCAAGCAACCGAAGTTCTCCAGCAGCTGCTCTCTGCTGTTCTGGGTTACCGTTCGCTAGCTTTTCGAGCAATGCAGCAATGGTGGTTTGATCACAGTCTGAAACAGTGCTGCTTCCCAGTTTCCTGTTCTTAAAAGCAGCTTGATGCTTAGGAGGTAGCTCAACGCCATTGCTTTCGCACCACAAGGATATCAAACTCTTTAACACGTAGTTGGGTGTTAGTGCGGTGTGCAAGAGGGTTTGCTGGGTCTTTGGACATGTCTTGTGGCCAGCATCTAGCCATTTCTGAATGCAAGATCTTTCATATGTCTGCAAAAAGGAACGGAGACCAGGAATAAATGATGGCTACTGACCACTTCTGCAATAAATAATGTCAACAGTTGTCGAATCACTTAATCATTTCATGATCATTTACTTGTTTGAATCATTTTTATCAAACGCACTCCACTTTTACCATTTTCTCAGTTGACCACTTCTCCAACAGGCACGCCACACCAACTGATGTAATCAAATGAATTAGAAATAAGATTTTGAAGGTGGAGATTGGTCAAACCTGTCCGGTAGAGACAATAACGGGATCTTTCATTAGTTCAAGAGATATGGGGCAACGGAAGTCATCTGGGATAACAGGAGACCTGTGCTTAAGGAATTCCTTGTCAGCCTTGGGAGCAACAGCATCTTCTGGGTTTTCAACTTGTACAAAGTCCTTCAACTTTCTGAACAGAGAAGAAATCTTCCCAAACCAGTCGTCAGGATCTCCTTCGCTTGAAATCACTAACTCATGGAATGCAATGGACTCCTTTTTAAGATCCTCGATTGTCTTAAGTTGAAGCTTTTCAGAAAGCCGCTTCAGGATTGCAGGGTCTGGATCTCTCTCTCTTTGTGCAATAGCTAAGTCATGTTCAAGCTGTACATCAGGAGAGTCTGGTCTTGCGGTTGCTCTTCTGAACTGAGCATGCACAAGCTCAATCTGGTATCATAACAAAACAAGATTAAATCAGGTTACAGGCAGAAGAGGCAATCAAAGCTGAGTACTATAACAGATGAAGTAATTAATGAATGATATATTTCTAATAGTTTCAATTCAAGAATACCTGTTCCAGGACTTCCTCGGACAAATCGAGCTTGTTGTAAGGAATCTTGCTCAATGCTGTTCCAATCTGTTCAGTAATCTGGTGGAACTCAGCTGCTATGTTGTCCTGATACAAGGCCTGTGACATAGAAGGACAATGTTTGTCTAAAATAAACCATCACATATAAACTACAAGGAGGTGGAGCTGTGTATACTGATTGTTCAAAGAGTAGCATAAGCCTGCTATGTTTATGTAACAGACTTAGTCAGTGGAAAACCTTTGCAGCCGAAACAGCTAAAATCCTTAACGTTCAGTCCAAGAAAGCACAAAAAAAAGCAAAATACCTGATAAACCTTGCTGCCTTCATTGACTGTCCTCAGATGCTTCAGAGCTGAATCCAGAGCAGTTCTTAACAGATCAAACCCTATAGCTGCTTCCTCAACCAGCTCTTCGCTACCGTCTTTTAATTCCTCAAACATGGGACTCAAGAGCTTGATCCTCCTCACCAAATTGCCGTGCATTCTTTTGCAAACATTTCTACACTCAGCCAACCCAGAGATGGTCTTCACCAGCTCCAAGAGTTGACTCACCAGCCCCAAGTTGTCATACACAGAACAACGACATCTCTGATAAACTGAGTTCAGTAATACTTGCTCCTGAACTTCTTCTGACAAATCAAGCTTTTTGTAAGGAATCTTGCTCAATGCTTCTTCAACTTGTTCTGTTATTTGGTGGAATTCAGCTGCTATGCTGTCTCGATGTAAGGACTGTGCGACATTGAAAACAAGTGCTTCGCTTAATTATCATGAGAAATAGACTGCAAGGTTTATTGCAAACCTCTCCACCAAGACAAAACCACATGCTATGTGCATTGACAAAGCTAGAGATTATGGTGGGCAATAGATTACCAATCTCTACGAGATTATGCATCGTCCAAGAGTGATTCAAAGCCAAAACCTCTAACCCCAATTCTTCATTCAGGTTTCCTCAAATTGGTTGCCAAATGCAACAAGCATAGCCTAACATGTAAAGTAAGAAACCTATACAATCATCTACTAAACCATTCCCTCTGAAACAGGATTGGTGGATCTTTCCTGTTATTTTCTAGACCTAGTAAACTGACAATTCCTCGTCAACGCGCCCAAAAAACAAAAACAAAAAAAAAAACTGACAACCGAAACAGCTAAAGATTCTCACATTCAATTCTGTAGCCACAAAGGAAGACAATACCTGATAAACCTTGCTGCCATCGTTGACTGTCCTCATATGCTCCATAGCCGATTCCAGAGCAATTCTCAACAGCTCAAACCCTTCAGCGGCTTCTTCGCTCAGCTCTTCATTGACATCTTTCAATTCCTCAAACATGGGTCGCAAGAGAATAATTCTTCTTACCAAATTGCCGGGCATCTTGTTGCACACATTCCCGCACTCAGGCAGCTCAGAAATCTCATTCACCAACTCCGAGAGTCGACTCACCAACCCCAAGCCGTCATCCATGTGGTTAATTAAGAACCAGGAGCCGCTGCCTGCAAATTAAACCCAAAAGGCGGCGACTTTGAGCGAAAGGATGGAGACCCAGCCGAAGAAACCGGTGCAATTTCACTGGGCTAGCCGCCCCTCACAGAATTGTGATATAAGAAGGTATGAAATGGAAGGAGGAAGGAAGAAGAAGAAGAAAGGAATGCCGTTTGTGATGACTGCTGACAAATGAAGAGGGGGAGAAAGAGAGAGACTTTAGTGAGCATTCTTAATGGAAGAAATGAAGAATAATCTAACCGCGGAAAATATACTCGTTCTTTTTTCATGAAGTGGAATTTTGTTTTATAATCAATTCATGAGGTGGAAATGACAAAGGAAATGATGGGTCTTTTTTGCTTTCTCTTCATTATTTATTTTCTAGCATAGTCTAATATTTATTTATTTTATCCTTCCAACTTCCAATCTGGCCAGATTTTGTCAATTCAATCAAACCAAACGCTTGTTACCGGGACAGAATTGAATCAATGAATCTACAAATATATAACAAAAAACAAAAACAAAAAGACTATCCATAATCTCATCATTCATTCCAAGTTCTCAAACTATCATTTGCATTGAAAAAAATGAGAATATCAATTTCTCGAATAGTTTAATTATATTTATAATATTATACTTTGTTTTTGTTTTTTTATAAAAAAAATAACATTTCTAATATTTTTTTTTAATACATATTCATATGTATTGACCTATTCGATTTACACTTCTTAGTAAATTAGCCAACCTATCTCGAAACAGATATAAATATTAGGAAACCTGCTCCGAACCCATGGTCATTCCTATAGAAATTAAACTTGTAACTTGTGTCTTCAAGCACCTACTTATAACTTATAATCCTTGTAAAATTCCTCTCAATTTCATGTTTGCTAGCCGACATAAACTCGGTTAGGGTTAAACCGATAATTAATCTTCCATATGGATGACAGGTGGCAAGAGAAAGGGAAAGATTGGAATTTGGAAGAATAAGAGTAGAAGGAAAAGATTGAAGAAAAAAGAGGGGCATTGCTATTCGTCGCCCTAACTTTTATTAAAATTACTTAAATATCCTTAGCTTAATTCTTATCTTTCAAAACATATATAAACACTAAACAAAGAATCAAACACATACAACTATGTTTAACAAAATAAAATAGCGGAAAAAATAAATTAATGAATTACAAGTTACAAATACACCAAAAAAATAAAAAAAATGTAAAGAGCTCAGGCATGTTCGTACTCGCCGCTAGAAGCGCCGGAGATGGGTTTTCAACCTTTCCGAGCGGCTGGAAACAAAACAAAAAAACTCTTTGCCCGGCGAGTGCGAGGCGAGACAGAAGATGAAGGCCGAGCCGAGGAGAAAGGAGAAGTTGAGTCTGCCTTCGCTCGTCGTTGGCGCCGAAGAAGAAGTTCGCTCGTCGTAGCCGCCGACCTCTACTTCCGTTCTCTGCCCAGCCGACGAGGCCGAGTCCGAGTCGTAGCTGCAGCCGTCCTCTGCTTCTGACGTCGCCCATCATCGTTGCCGCCCGATTTACCATGGGAACGGACATGCTGCGAGGATTGAAGTTGGTGGCGGCTGCCGGAGAGAAGAATCCACAACGACAACGGCGGGGTTGAGGTTGGCGGTGTCTGGCAGGGTAACGGATTGTTTGATTAGGGTTTTGGTTAGAGATTGGGATCAGAGGGTAAAATTGTCAATTTGGTACATTTTAGGGCGACAAAAATTGAATTTTAGGGCGACGAATAGCGATTCAGAAAAAGAGAACATATTGGAAGTGTCGCCGACCATCAACGTCTGCTCCGATCAGCAGGATAGATAGTCTTAACAAAAAAGGAGTAAGCCACCTTTTATCTATCATCTCTTACAAATCCAGGTGGAAAAGGAGAGCAAAGAGAATAAAGAACCTTCGCATAGTCTTCTGGTTCATCTGCTCTCTTCATCAGATTGTCCATCCGACTCCCGAGTCCAAAACCCTATTACTTCTCGCTCACTGGGTTTGTTTCAGATTGTTTGCAGTACACGCGTGGATTTCCTCTACACATCGCTCATGGGTTGTGCTTCTTCTCTACCAGGTAAATTTGGAAGCTTTAGCAGGAAATTCCCCGTGAAACGTTGAGTAATAGCCGAATGTGATTTGTGCTTTTAGGGGGGGAATGGGTTTGCGATTGCGGATTAGGTTCGTGATTTACATACTGGTAACTAGTTCAACTAAGGGATTGGGATGGGAAATGTATAATGGGTATTGTAGGGTTTGTGATTGTGTGCGGAGTCAGAGTGATTTAGCTGAGCTGTTCGGTTACTCTGGTAGAGTTAATTTGTTACGGTTTTTAAATAGTTGAAGCTGCGGCTGCTTAAATGTCTGCGCTAGTGTGGATTTCTATACTTTCTAGTGTTGGGTTGTTCATTCGCACAGTTTCGGGGTATACTGTGAGGCGCTTCTGACTTATATATTTCGTTATGATTTTGGTTTGATGCTTCTTGGATGCTTGGGACAACACTACCAGACCGGAGTTCTGGGCAGTTGGGCGTAATTAATTCGGACAGCAACGGATCAACTGATGCAAAGAGCCTTCGTGTAAAGGTACTAGATTGGCACTGGGTCACCGAAGAAACGATGCTCTCTATGCAGTAACTGTAATATCGAAGTGGTGCTGGTTTTTCTTGGTTCCTATGTATCATGCAAACTGATTTGGCATTGCAGCATTGACTGCAAGCTGAATGTTAAAATTCATTACCTAGAGACAAATTGAAATCATATTGCCTTGTTCAGCTGTATTCCTGACTTTTGATTTCCATTCCCATGAACAGCTCGTTTTGTTAGGTGATTCTGGTGTTGGTAAAAGCTGCATTGTCCTTCGCTTCGTCAGAGGTCAGTTTGATCCAACATCTAAAGTAAGTAACCTGGTGATGGTCTCAGTGTTTTTTTGTGATTCAGAATCCCATCATGTGCAATCCTTTCCATATAACTTTGTAGTATCCATATTGATTTAGAAGCATGAATGTATAAGTATACTATCCAAAAGCCATTGACTTAAGTTAATTGTGTTTTCATCGCTCCCCAGGTAACTATTGGAGCCTCATTTCTCTCACAAACAATAGCACTACAGGATTCCACGACTGTGAAGTTTGAAATATGGGATACTGCAGGACAAGAAAGGTAACTCATAGTCTCCATTTGCTGCTCCCCCTGTTTTCAAAATCCTGTTTAATCGGAGAGGTAATGTGTTTGAAATATGTTTTGTGATCAGGTATGCTGCATTGGCCCCGCTCTACTACCGGGGTGCTGCAGTTGGTGTTATTGTCTATGATATAACCAGCCCCGAGTCCTTCAATAAAGCACAGTATTGGGTCAAGGTACCTTTGTTCGACTTTGGTTCTGTTTTCCTATCTATAATGCTTTTACTTCGTGCAACTTGTTGGAGATAATCCATACGCAGAGCATCTGACTCAGTTAGTTTAGTTCAGAATTGCAAATATGCCTACTGCGGATCATGGTAGAACTGCCTGGATTCTTTTTGTGAAAGTGAATCTTGAGAGAACACCTGGGTACCAGATTGGTGTAAAGCTGTCTTTTCGTGAAAGATAGATGGATATATGTGTGAACCTTTACCTGATAATCTCATGCAAAAATAAAACAACTCATGCAAGTTGCCTCGGGCATTTTGGAATGTATGACCATGATAAAAAAATGTTCTCCATACTTTTTGATGGTGCATGGGTTCAGTCTGTTCTTCATGCTACTCTGTATGATCATCAGCTGATTGGGCTTGGTTTTCGTGCATGTGATTGGGCTTGGTAAAACTTGTGGTCTTTGGTTCTTTAGTTGCTTTGAGATGAGTTAGTTATGATGTCAGCTCCCTTTGGTGGGAATCAACAGAATTTAGCACGTAGGTGGTGTTTATGGGACAGATGGGTTTTCTGTTATCCCCTGTCTTCTGTCTGAACATAGTTAGATGAAATTTTTGACCAGTGGATTGCTCATTTTTTGTCCTTTGAAGGGTTCATATAAGAAAGATTGAAACTTTTGGAAAATCTAAGGAACTCTAATATGTTAGAGATGAGAGAGAGAATCATATGGTTAGGTGTTGCAACAGAAAAGAGGGGACAGGTGGGTGTTTTGGGGGTGGGTTTCGAAAAGCGCTTGATATGATAGTGCACATCAAAAGGAGAACTATATTTTGTGCTTGCCTTGGAGAAAGATCATAATCAGTCTGTGATTTATTTCGTGGTGGCATTTTTATGGCAACTTATGTGTTGGCTGTCTTTGTACCTGTTTCAGGAACTTCAGAAACATGGTAGTCCTGATATAGTGTTGGCTTTAGTTGGTAACAAGGCTGATCTTCATGAGAGCAGAGAAGTGACTACTCAAGTAAGTGCAGCACTCGACTCTTGATTTATCAGCAGACTTTCTAGACCCTCATTTTTGTGTTTTAACGTATTTGCATTTGGAAGGATGGCATCGACTATGCTGAGAAGAATGGAATGTTTTTCATCGAGACTTCTGCAAAGACAGCAGACAATATCAATCATCTTTTTCAGGTGATCCTCCTGATACTTCTCACCTTTTACATTTCTTCAGATTTACCCCTTATTCCTTGTTTTACAAACTAGAAAAGCACACAAGCAATTATGATAGTTGCCTCTTTCTTCTGGTGGAAAAGAAACTCTGATAGATTGATAAGTGTGATTTCAACTTTTGTGTCTCACTGATGAGCTCATTACTGATTGTTGATGCCAATTACCTCAAGAAAGAATGCTGCAACTACACCCTTGACCTTGCTCATTTAAGAACACTTGTTCATTCGAATTCTGGTTATGCGTAGTGGAAGAAAATATAATCAGATGACGTTTCTCTAGATTTTTCCCTTAGCCATGGTGATAGTGAACACTAGGCATTTATCTATTGTGATAGTTTGATTTCAGAGGAACTTTTCATTGGCACTTCAATAAAGGAATTTGTTTTGTGTGGACTAAAGTTCTTCCCGTATTTTGTCGATCCATTTTACAGTAATAGATCTGTATTGCTAGTACTCTTTTCCAAATGTCGTTTAATCCTTTGTGGCGCGTAGTGTAAGGGGTCTGTCTGTGGCTTAGCGCAGATTAAATGCTGAAGTTATCGAGGCTTGGATGTACTATGCTGACAGAGTTTCATCATCCTGCAGGAAATTGGCAAGCGACTCCCTCGCCAGCAGCCAGAACCCTCGACATGATTTTCCAGGTTCTTGAAACAAAAACAAAGTGTATTATGAAACTGATTTATGGTATTCGAACAGAACCCGCCTTCTGTCGAGTTTGTACATAGCAATCGCGACTCTGCTGACTCGCAACTCTCTCATTTGTCGATGTTGTGATGGAATACCTGCCTTCGGTGTTTTATCAAAGGGGTCGTCAGTTGGTTCATGACACAAAAATAGCCACGTGAAATGGCGGACTAATTCCTTAACATGGAACTGTTTCGACTTCGCATCGCAGGGGTGGTTTCCTCCTGGTGATCATGTTTATGCGAGATTGTGATTTGGTGTTGGTAAGGTTACATTATTATTGTAGTTGCAGTGAAATGGAGATGGACTGGTTTGCTCATTCAGCCACGTCGGTGGGTTGTTTAGTCTTTTCGGACGATGCTTCCATAACATCGCCTTGTAGTCTACTACTAGTACCCGCGCCAGAGTTTGGTTTTGGGTTCTAATCCTTCAGCTTCAGGTAACCGTTAAAACCCGAATGGGGAATAGAGTAACCCACACTCATAAACTCTAATACGCTGTCGTTTTGTTACGAAATAACATATTGTTTGGCAAAATACCCGCGAGTTGTGACCAATTCGTACAATCTCGCCGACAGAAAACGCGAATTCTAAACCACCCGCAGGTTAGATGTGTGTGGTATTGGATCCTGCTGGCATGGAAATGCCAGAAGTAGTTGACACTGGAAATGACCAAACCCTAGATTGAGTTTCCACTTTCCAGTAGTGATTCTGAGAAGAAATCTCTTTTTTTTGCAAGTGCCGACATGCATTAGTTGCGTAGATCTTGTTAGCCAGTCAGTCACAGGCTTCGAATCCAATTTGTGAGCAGGTGGGGGATCTCATCTCGTTAGATTTGGTTCGTGCAGGCGACACACGTGGCACTGTCTGAACTGAGCCAGACAATCAAAAAAGCAAACAGAAGGCAAAAGAAGTGGGAGATGTGCTGATGTGGCTTACCGCAGAAACGCAGCAGCGCTGGCGGGAAAAAGGGGGTTCATCCGACGTGGCCGTTTGGTTCCTTCCCGCGTGTTCCAGCAAAGACTTATTTGACTTTTCTTACCTTCCCTTAGCTACCCACTTTCTTCTCTTCTCAATGGAATGGATCACAGGCTTAATATCTTTCTTGAACCAACCTTTTCCCCCAGATTTCCGTGTCATTTATCCGCCCTGCTGGCAACCGGGGGAAAAAAAAAAAAGGAATGGACTGGTTTATTGATATTTTGGACTAGTTTAATTCGTCCACTTCACCAACAAACGTACAACAATGATAGTCGCCCTCTGGTTCTCGTAAAGAAGGACTTGGTCAGTTGGTCTCTCATCCCATGAACAAGTATATCTATGGCTCGCAACATGACCAAATGGCTTGTGACTGGGAGCACTTAGCGCTGCAAACGAGCTTGATCGAAACTCGGTTTCGTTAATAAACGAGCCGAACATGAGCTAAGTTTTGCTCAGCTCGCGAGCTAGCTCGACTCGGTGGCTTGTTGAGCTAAACTCGTGAGCTGGCTCGTTTAGAGCTCATGATATGTCTCAACATGTGGCTAGAGAGCCAACTCGATTACCGACTTATGAACGAATCAATCTGTATCTTATGATTTTAATTCATATGGTTGTTAAATTATATATCTCACCATATATAAAGTTTAACACGTTGAGTATGTGAGCAAATATATCTTAGTTTCTACTTTAAAACGAAATTATGTATCATAAATTGCTTTGATACTTTAAAATAACATGATTTTGAGTAGTTAATATTTATTAACTAAATGATATATGATACTAACAAAATATAACATGAGGTTAGCTAACAAAATAAATCAGATGTATCATGATATACAAAATGAAGTTCCAAATAAAAGTCAAGATATTAGTAAACAAGCTAGCTCGAGCTCGTCAGCTCGTTTATTAACGAGCCGAGCTCAAACTGGGGTAAAACTCGACTCGGCTCATTTGCAGCCCGTCACTACGCTATGGGATAACAGTGGATTCCCCCAAATAATATACTAGACGCATTATAAATAAATTCTCACAATACAATGCTTACACTAAAATTTCTGCATTAGAGTTTAAGAGAGCGACCTACCACAGATTGTGCCCAACCGAAGCAACCTAATCTCGATCTATAACGTTATTAACCGAGATCGTTGTTGTTTCCAATGAAATCTCAAAAAGTTTTACCGGATAACAAAAAAAAAATTATAAAGTTCTGGATTGTTTCAGGTGTAGAAAGTTGTCGCCGCCGATTTGTATAGCGATTTGTTAGGGCAAGATCGCTGGAGTCATCAACTGACATGTATGGAGCGCTCGTCCTGTTGACCGGCAGCTGGTTCGCTTCGGTTAGTCGTGATCCGGGTTAGTCATGCATAATAATGAAGAGCACGGGCATCCCTAGCTAGCTTCTTTCTCTTGGTCAACGAAACTTCGTTCCAGCTTCCCCCAACTATCTATCTCTCAAAGTGCCACCCAACATTTAATCTATTAATTAATTAACTCATAGGTGGTGGTGGTGGTGGTGGTGAGCTGGACTTATTTCCCGTTTCATTTCCTTCACGAGCTTGCTTACGTGTGCCATCGTTCTAGCTACATATTTTCCGATCAAACCTTCCTTCCTTTCTCCTCTCTCTATATATACCGACCGCGGCTAAGATCCAAACTTCTTCATCACATCCTTCCTTTCAAATTCAAACTGAACCCCATACATTAGCCATGTCGTCTAATAACAATAATACCTTCTTTTTCGTCGTCCTCCTCGTGCTGCTAATTCTCACGAGCACCATGGCGGTGGGCGCCGCGGCCAGGCCGGCTCCGGCCAATAAGTCGATGACCTACGCGGCGTTCAAGCCGCCCGTCGGGCAGCGAGCAGCCGGGGTGTTCGACGGCTGCTTGCCTAAAGGGTTCCATCGGAATTCGGGGCCCAGCCGCTACATCAACTACGAGCCTGCCGGCGGAACAACAACAAGTACAATAATAATGTGCGACACGGAGAAGCACTGAATTAAGTCACGAGGGGACTGATGATATTATACATGTTTATAGTTTGTATTTTACTGTGACATTTCAAAATATATGATCATCGTGATTATATATATAAATACGAAATGTATGTATACAAACCACGTACACCTGTGTTTATGTACCTTTTATACGTACGTTGGTGCATATTATATATTAATGAAAACTGTGTTTAATGTTACGTAAATAGCAACTTAATTGATCCAATGTGTTTGAAGTACCGACATCGAACAATGTCCTCTTATTATAAGGTTTATAATATGTGAGTCAGAAGAAGGAACAGAGGATATTTGGATCGATATTTTAAGCATTTATGTTGGCAAAAATCAATGTTCGACCGTGGTTGGATATTTGGACATAAATTTTAACAGAAGATCATGTTCGCAACCCGATTTTTTCTTATGTATACAAGTATTTTTGTTGGAACGCTGATGCATAACTAATGGAATGCTTAGAGTATCTTCATTACCCCATGTAAGAATCTTATCAATCTCGATAGAAATTATCTTTTCCTCATATTCGGCTATGGCGATGGCTCCTGAATTAAGGCCCCTTTTGGCGTTGCAATCCAATTCCAACAATGCACTTCTCGGAAGTAAAACCTAACCGCTGATAAGCATATTTGATAAAAAAAAATGCATAATAAAAAAGCGTATTATACCTATATATATATATATATATAACCTTCTGCAGATAAGTCGTCACTCGTCACCATTTAACATATATGTCGTCTTACACTTTCTTCTCATCCTTGAACATATGACCATGGCTATCCTCCATGACTGTACGATCAGTGTGCGAAGTACTCTAATTCTCTTGTCGCTTTTTCTTTCTTCTGGACAAAGAACTCAAGAGTTCTTTAATTGCCGCCCGTGTTATTGAAGCCAATACTATTACTAAGCTAGATCCTCGTTTTAAGGAGAGAATAAAGCTCAGTCAACACCATTAGCTATAGTGTACTGAATTAATAAAGTAATCCAATGCTTTCTATTGCAGAATTCAGATCGGTAAAACTTTCCAAATTTCATATGTCTAGGAATGATAAACGGTCTTGGATAATTTAACCCAATTGTCATAATTCATATGGATATTGAATCAGATCTAAATGTACTTTATTTTAGTGATTTTGGGTTCGAGTTGAGTTTGGATTGAGTTCAATTTGAATCAACTCATTTGGATCAGATCAAAATAGATTGGATCCAAATGATTGAACACACAAATAGATCATATTAACCATCTCGATCATTGGCTGATTTCAACCCAATTACACCGATAATTAATGTCGGTGTTCCCATCTTTCTCTTTGTTTCATATTAGCTCAAGAATGCAAAATCTGCGTGTGTAGTTCTAGTTCACTATGACTGCGAGTTGTCAAAACGCTCTCTCTCTTGGTATCTTGATGTGGCATTGGAGATATCAATAAGACTTGCGGTTATGCATAAATTCTTGATTAGATTGACAAACTCATCAACTTAAGTGGAATGATGCTTATTTGCGTTTACAAGCTCAACCCTCTTTTTCGAAAATTTGAATTTTCATTCTCGATCTTATTTAAAAAACAACAAGTTAGTTGACGTACCTTAATCTGTGCTTCAATCGATGATGATCGGAAGTATCTTTCTTGTCGGAAAAATGTGCATAAGCTATTTGATCTGAACGTACGTTCAAAGGAAAAAAGCTATGTTTAATTAATCTGATTTGCAATCTAAAAGTGATCTCTTTGCAGGCAGAGAGCCACAGCCCACATGCAAACTTGTGGAGTCAATGCATACAACTTGGAGATCGGGTGAGTAAAAAAACAAGGTAACAATTAAGTATTAATTCACAACAAGGTTTAAGAACGTGTTGGGCACTAGACATACGTTGGGTTATTGCTTAGCGTCTAGCATACGTAAACGGTGTTTAGATGACGCCTAGGCATTTTAGTAAAGTAGTAGTTTTTAGTAGTAATAACAATTTTATAGCACGCTTTTTATTTAGTTCAATTTCAAATGTTAATAACTTTGCTAACCCTCAACAATAATCAAAATAATTCATGACTTAGAATTGTTTGTAATTCCCAAATTGAGGAATGAGTGAAGGATGCATTGATCAATATAGGGGCAGCTACAGATGGCATCGTTTTGAGAAGATTAACTACAAATTTTTTTAATCTTTGAGCTACTAATGCAATTAAGGCGACTCACTTCAATTAATCACGCCTCACACAGATTAATCATGTTTGTTTTTTTTTTTTTTTGTCTAAGCATTACTTAGGCGTTACGAATGCTTTATCATCTGCCTAGGACCTAGCTGAGGCGTTTCGTCACTGCCTATTGCCTAGGCCCGTCTACGCGTATGCAGAATTACGCCTTTTTGAACCTTGATTTGCAGTAACTATTTGTACGTAGTATGTCATGTTGGAAACTACACCAATGTTAGATTTTGATCGAGCCCTTTGTTTGGATCAAGTTATGAAAGGAACCCCTCCGATCGATCCCCTCCATTTGTTTGGATCAAACTAACTGCAGATCCAATTCATGACAACCTTTTTCCAGCTTTCAATCCGCAGCTGTAACAAAAATGGACAGAATGGCAATGAAGCTATTGGCAAATGGCAGTTAGTTCGTCGTCCCCAAGAAGTATATACGTACGTAATTCCCACTCAGAATTCTGACTGGTTCAATGATAATGTTGACAACTTATCCTGATGATACAATGGATACTCCACTTTCAGACTTACAGCCAATCGAGCAACCAGAACAATATGATTTTACAAAAAAAACAATGTTATCATATTGATCCACCGGTGGATATCGCAAGGATGATTTGATGGTTACCGGCAGTATTCAAAAAAAAAAAAAAAAATTCTTCATTTAGATTAAGACGTGCAATGTTCTTCATTCATTAATCGAGATTTTGGAAATTAAAGAATAGGTTCTTAGTTCACTAGTAAGCTGTACAATCCAAACTTGGAATAAATAGGTTTCAAGAACAACAACTAGCAAGGTAACCGGACACTTTTATTACCCTCCCTACTAATTTTGTTTTGTCCTAGAAAACAAAGAGACATCCGATCAAGCCTCCTAATGAAAACCAGGCTACAAAGTTGAAATATGATATTTTAAAAAAGGAGACTTGACCACCAGGGTTTACACGCCACTCGTAGGCCTTATTCTGCGGATAAAAGAAAGACGTAATTAATTAATTTCCCATTCATCCGAAGTATGGAGCGACCCAATTTGAGGTTCAAGGAATCATTCCTAAAGACTAAGGCACCTATGTACAATTAAAGTGATTAAGAAACCAACCGATGATCCTCACGTAGTAGACGAGCACCAAGAATTAAAACACACCTCATTTTGAAGCCGATGGATGACGATCTTCGAGTCACCTTCCATAATTACTTTGGACATCTTAGGGTCGTTTGGAAGTTGTGATTTCAAATGATGTATTGAGCTTATTCATGTATTTGTAAGATTAAGTCGTTTTTGCTTATATTGGACTATAATACATGCATTTACTTTTTGGAAGCCCCACTACAATCAATCAAAATTGAGAGATTATCAATCTCTACTTTTTGTTGAGATTCTTTATAATCACTCTGCTAACAAATTCGTATGAGATTCGAACAAACCAAGAATAACAGTTGCAATAGCTCTCTTCAGTGCAAAAAAAAAAAAAAAACCTTTCGATATTTATCAAATGATTAAAATACATACATATAAATACCAGCTAAATGATGGTGATTATTCCAATCAAATACTTTTAAGAGGTCGATTTGCTTGCAGCAATCCATGATCAAGTAAGTTATGCAAACAATAAAGTGCTAAAATCCAATCCAATCCATCGTAAATTTAATGGTTAAGGAAAAGGGCCATTTTAAAAAACAAAACAAAAAAGGTAGGATGAGAAAGAAGAAAGGTAAAGTGGTACTAGGTTGTTGGCCATAAGTACGACAGATAGGCAAATTTAGATTGTTTTTAGTTGGATCCTCAGTTTCCTTTCCTTGGTTGATGCGCTGTAATTATATTCTTTTACTCGCCGTTTCTCCTTTTATTTTAAAATTTTGTTTTAAAAATGAAAATGTAGCAGCAGCACCGGAAAAGAAAAATGACAAATCAGGTTAGGACATATTTATCTCGAAACTAATTTGTGGCTGATTATTTTGTTCGTTAGGATATTTATCGCTCTTGATGCAGCATACTTTCCTTTCACCTTGCAATATTCTGTGATATTAGTTGTACAATGACTACTGTACTAAAATTAAAACTCTCATTTTAGTTAATCCAATAAATTTAGGACGTCATTAACCTGCGTCATGGATTTAAAAACGGGTCTTCAGTTATAATTTTAACTATCGCCAATGAAATGATAATCTATTCCCCCTAAATAAGCACAAGTGGGCAAAATTAATGTGGGTCTGCGGAATATGTGGAGTTGGTGTATTTTATTTAAAGCTATGGCCTATGGTTCTACAAATGAAATCATTAACTTCATTTTCTTTAAGCAAGATTAGTGCACAAGACATGGTCGAACAACTCAATTACAAAATTAACATGAATCATATGTGGTAGATTGAATGCAATCGGATTGCTGATGAACAGCGGCGAAGGGAAGTGGAAGGGAGTGGGGTCCTAATACTTAGGGATGGCAATCAAACCCATGGCCGCGGGTACCCGACCGCTCCATACCCAGTCAACGCGGGGAATCCCCGCTTTGACCGGGTATGGGGCGGGTATGGGTAAAACCCGCAAAAGGTTTGATGGGTATGGGGCGGGTATGGTTTTAGCCTCCCCCGCCCCATACCCATACCCATACCCATACCCGCCCCACCAAGAGAATTTCTTCACATATCAAAAAATACGTGGATTAAATTGTAATCTATCAATGATGATGATGATAACTCGAGAAAATAAATAGTAGAAATGCAATTGAGTAACCACCTTAATCAAAACCTAATTCATTTCCCTCAATTCTCCTTCCACTCTTTCACTTTCCCC